CCCCCCCCCCCCCCCACCACCCACTTAAGCGCTGCCCGGCCGCCCCCTGCCCATGCCTCCCCCAAATGCTGATTCAAAACTTTTGAGCTAAAATTTAGAGAGTTTTCACGGGAGACAAACAGAAACAAGCGCGCCTAGTGAGCCACACAGGCGGTATATGACGGCTCTGCTGGATAAAACTAACACAACTTTTATAATAGAGCCCAATCGTTTTTTTTTACGAGTTTTGATTTGTTGTGAATGTAATGTTTTCTCACCTTTTTTAGGCCCCTTTTTTTCGGGCACTTATAGTGAGGATGTGTCTGTTTTTCTGTCTGTGTTTGTCTGTCTGTGTCTGTCTGTCTGTCTGTCTGTGTCTGTCTGTGCTTTTGAACGTCTCGTTGATATTTGCGACTTTCCCCTTGAACTGTTGGAACTGAAAGTAATGTTCAATCCGTCTGAACGCCCATATCCGGCTCTACACGTTCGTCATCCGGCTCTACACGCCCGTATCCGGCTCTACACGCCCGTATCCGGCTCTACACGCCCGTATCCGGCTCTACACGGTCATCATCCGGCCCTACACTCCATCATAGCCGAAGAACATGAGTTGAACATAATTGAAGTATCCGACTGAACTGAAGGCCTGAACATGAACACAGACGGCTCTAGAATTACTAATCCAAGTTAGATCACAAAACATTTGGAAGCAAATTGGAGATACGTAAATTTATACAAATAAAACAGCTAACCAAACTCAGGCTATTGTATTGCAGCTCTGTGGATAATAAATTACCCGCCTGGATATGTACTTGATGCATGGGAGGCGGGAGAGAGGAGGATATATAATGGATAAATCCACGAAGGAGCAAGTGGTTGGATATTATCAAGAGTTTCATAGATTTCATTATCCCTGTGTTCTTTCATTATTTTGGTTATCATTATAACATAACTTGGAGTTGTGAAGATGATGTCTACTGTATGACATCTGTCTGTCTGTCTCTGTCTCTCTCTACAGTGGTCGTTTCGATGTATGATTTCCAGATTGACTTCACCTCATGTCGAAAATGGAATGCAACTCCTCATGGAGTTGTGAAGATGATGTCTACTGTATGACATCTGTCTGTCTGTCTGTCTGTCTGTCTGTCTGTCTGTCTGTCTCTGTCTCTCTCTACAGTGGTCGTTTCGATGTATGATTTCCAGATTGACTTCACCTCATGTCGAAAATGGAATGCAATTCCCTCATGAGTTCCTAGCAAGTCTTAGCATAAAGTGGTTTAATGAGGACAAGGACACGAGCTGAGATCACAAGTCCCCCTCATTGTTCCGGCATTAATGGGGGGATGGGTAGAGAGGCAGAGGAGGGAGAGAGAGAGAAGGGGGGAATGAGGGATAGAAGGGAGAGAGAGGAGAGGGATAGGTTAAGGGGAAGAACCTTATTAACAGGTTGATAAAGACAGTGGCGAGTCTTCACTATTGTTAATCTTGTAAGGAAAGGATAGGGGAAGATGGGTGGATAGGGACTCTGTTTGGACCTGTCCAGTGGAGTGGTAGGGATGGTATTTTACCTCGCGGTGATTTCGAGGATCAACGTCCCCGTGGCCCGGTCTCTGAACAGGCCTGGCGATTGGTGGTTTGGTCAATTAGAGCTGTTGGACGCGGCTGATCGCATCCTGACGTACGAATCACAGGCTATAGTGGTTCAGGTTTCATTTGAAGGCGTTTGTCGTGTTCACTTTTGAACACCGTGTGAGGATGTTGACCAGACCACACACTAGAAAGTCAAGGGACGACGACGTTTTGATCCGTCCTGGACCAACCTCCTGATCAAAACCTTCGTCCAAAACCTTGTCCGTCCTGATCCAGGACGGACCGAAACGTCGTCGTCCCTTCACTTACTAGTGTGTGGTTTGATCAGCATACTTCAGCCACGTTATTGTGACTCCTCGTCTGCAGAGAGAGAGAGAGAGAGAGAGAGAGAGAGAGAGAGAGAGAGAGAGAGAGAGAGAGAGAGAGAGGAGAGAGAGAGAGATTCCTTCACCCTGTCTTCATACCCCAGCTCCCTTGGCCTCATATCCCAGCTCCTTGTCCTCATACCCCAGCTCCTTGGCCTCATACCCCAGCTCCTTGTCCTCATACCCCCAACTTCTTGTTCTCATACCCCAGCTCCTTGTCCTCATACCCCCAACTTCTTGTTCTCATACCCTAACTCCTTGTCCTCATACCCCCAACTTCAGTCCTCATACCCCAACTCCTTATCCTCATACCCCCAACTTCATGTCCTCATATCTCAGCGCCATGTCTTCATATCCCTTCCATGTGATGTATAATCATCCCAGCTGAGCGCCTTCGCTGGGTAATTACCTTTCCTCTCCCTTGATTGGTTGAGCCAAGCATTCAAGAGCATAGAGCTCCCGTCTGGAACTGTCTGGCGCTATTACCAGCCTCATAGAGCCTCGTGTAATAGAGCACACAGAGCCCAGCTTTGCGATTCAATACAGGAATCTGTAGGTGGGAGATGCAGAGCTCAGTCTTGCTGCTCTGATTAGAAATGGTTCATTATCTCTTGGGTGTTACCCATTATATGTAGTTTGTGTGTGTGTGTGAGATGTTTGGGGGGCGGTTGGTGTAATTAATGGGTGTGTGTGTGTATGTATGTATGCATATGCGAATAAGCTTGAATGGTCCCCAAGCCAATATGCAACTGAAATCCTTCTGGGGGGTGTCATGTCCTCATACCTGTAAATATATATATATATATATATCTATATATATATATATATATATATATATATATATATATATATATATATATATATATAGATACAGAGAGAGAGAGAGAGAGAGAGAGAGAGAGAGAGAGAGAGAGAGAGAGAGAGAGGAGAGAGAGAGAGAGAGAGAGAGAGAGAGAGGAGAGAGACAGACAGAGAAAAAGAGAGAGAGACAGAGAGAGACACAGAGAGAGAGAGAGAGAGAGAGAGAGAGAGAGAGAGAGAGAGAGAGAGAGAGAGAGAGAGAGAGAGAGAGAGAGAGAGAGAGAGAGAGAGACAGAGAGAGAGAGAACAGAGAGAGAGAGACAGAGACAGAGAGAGAGAGAGAGAGAGAGAGAGAGAGAGAGAGAGAGAGAGAGAGAGAGAGAGAGAGAGAGAGAGAGAGAGAGAGACAGAGACAGAGACAGAGAGAGAGAGAGAGAGACAGAGACAGAGACAGAGAGAGACAGAGAGAGAGACAGAGAGAGAGACAGAGAGAGACAGACAGAGAGAGACAGACAGACAGAGAAACAAGAGACAGAGAGAGAGAGCGTGGCCGAGTGCGCTTGTAAAGAAATCCAATTTATGGTTATTCTAATCTAATGAATATATTATAGTATCGAACATATTAGAACCTGATAACTATGCCGTAACATATTCCTTCGTTGTGTCCAGTAAAACGTTAGATTTACGACACTGATATCCCTTTTAACACAACAATTTACACACAGTAAATGCAAAATTGCAATTTGCATCCATAAATTAAAAATAGAAATACAAATTCAATATACATTTGCAACACTAAAGCAGCTTATACGAGCAATCAATGTAGAATTAACAGCTTCCTTATCATTTTCGGGTCCATTGTCTGAGGAGAAAGTTATAGTGACCAAGGTGGCCGAACTGGTCGTAAGTAGTGACCTGAATTCTCAGTATCCGGTGTTGTTGATCGCTCAAGGATAGTAATGTTGGGCACACACACACACACACACACACACACACACACACACACACACACACACACACACACTATCATACAGTACAATACGAGTACACAATTAATCAAAGCCTGGAAGCTATGAACTGTGAACAGGTAAGCAGGCAGGCTAGGAGGAAAGCAGGCAGGCTAGAAGGCAGGCAGGCAGGCTAGGAGGCAGGCAGGCAGGCTAGGAGGAAAGCAGGCAGGCTAGAAGCAAGGCAGGCAGGCTAGGAGGCAGGCAGCCAGGCTAGGAGGAAAGCAGGCAGGCTAGAAGCAAGGGAGGCAGGCTAGGAGGCAGGCAGGCAGGCTAGGAGGAAAGCAGGCAGGCTAGAAGCAAGGCAGGCAGCCTAGAAGCAAGGCAGGCAGCCTAGAAGCAGGACAGGCAGGCTAGAAGCAAGGCAGGCAGGCTAGAAGGTAGGCAAGCTAGGAGGCAGGTAGGCAGGGGAGGGCAAGCATGCTATTCCAGCTGACACACTATACTACCCTCACAACATAACGCTATTGCGTGAAGATATTATGCAAATTGCTGTGCACTCTTTTAGCCAAGGCTGCCATCGCTGAGGCCCAAGACAGCCAGCAACGCTGCCTTTACCCATAACTGAAAATTCTCAGCGTTTATGCACAGTCATTTGCATATTGAGTAGGTCGGGAGGAATTAGGTACATGAAATATGTGAGCGAACACACACACACACGATTGGAACAAGTGAGGAGGTCAAAACCGTTAGTAGTTTCAAAGCGTTATACGACAAAGAGTACTGGGAAGACGGGACACCACGAGCGTAGCTCTCATCCTGTAACTACAGTTAGGCAATTACACTTAGGTAATTACAATCTCGTGTATTCTCTCTGACACACACACACAAGCTAATTATCTTGCAATAAAATGCTCTACAACATATTTTGTATACACACACACACACACACACACACACACACACACACACACACACACACACACACCACACACACACACACACACACACACACACACACATCTATGACCTCTAAGAACAAGAGGTCATAGATATAAACTAGCTAAACACAGATGCCGAAGAAATATAAGAAAATTCATTTTCGCAAACAGAGTGGTAGACGGTTGGAACAAGTTAGGGGAGAAGGTGGTGGAGGCCAAGACCGTCAGTAGTTTCAAAGCGTTATATGACAAAGAGTGCTGGGAAGACGGGACACCACGAGCGTAGCTCTCATCCTGCAACTACACTTAGGTAATTACACAAGGCAAACTCCACTAGCAATCCAAACAGCTTCTACAGCATCAGTAACATCTCGGAGATGAGCAGGTGCTATACTAAGCCCAGACCGCAGCCTCCAGCACATCCCCCAGATAACATTACCTACGAGACTGATAACAAAAATAACATTAACACGCTATATCCCTTTGAGATGTATTATATTGTCTCAACAAACCCACTTGAACTCCGGTGAGCAGGACCTTGAGGCTAACGTCAGAGTCCAATCATTCCCTTAGCAGAGCTCTGCTGATTGGAGCAATGAAGGGAAACGGGGAATGAAGGAAGAGGAGAAGGGGCGAGGAATGCAAAAAAAAAAGGAAGGACGAGCAGGAATAAGGAATGCAAGATAAGCAATTTGGTAGGCGAAGGAAGGTAATTATGAGGTGAAAGCTCTACGTTCATCTGTATAGAGCTAGGAAGGGCCTTTAGGACAATGATTTTGGGATAGAACGAAGGGATGGAATGGAAGACAAGGAATGGAAGACAAGGAATGAGAATCAAGGAATGAGAAACAAGGAATGAGAAACAAGGAATGAGAGACAAGGAATGAGAAACAAGGAATGGAAGACAAGGAATGAGAAACAAGGAATGAGAAACAAGGAATGAGAAACAAGGAATGAGAAACAAGGAATGAGAAACAAGGAATGAGAAACAAGGAATGAGAAACAAGGAATGAGAAACAAGGAATGAGAAACAAGGAATGAGAAACAAGGAATGAGAAACAAGGAATGAGAAACAAGGAATGAGAAACAAGGAATGAGAAACAAGGAATGAGAGACAAACCATTATCTCAAAAATCCGACCATAAAAAATAGCCAAACAATTGACAAATTTAAAAAAAAAAAAAATTAAAACCATAAAAAATAAGTTTTTCGAAACCATTCGTTGCTGAACCCAAATTATCGTTCAAGCCCGAACAATACCAACCCAAAACATCGAAATTAGTTACCTCAATCCGAATAAAAAAAAGGAAGCAGATAGATAGAAAAAAAAAAATTGACATTAAAAATATTTTTTTGATGAGTTATTAAATTTGTTGACTTATGAAGCGTAAGATATACATCTAAGTATATATATACACTATACATCGTATACATTTCGTATACATGGAAGAGTATGCTTACTGCGGAGTGGTTCTCACTATCAAGTATGGGTGATGGTGATTGGTATGGTGTTAACTATATATGTCTGTTGAAGTGCCAGATGAAGTCACATCAATGGTGAAGATCATTGATGCCATTGACGTCACAGTGTGGTCAATATTATGCCAGTGACATCACAGGGAGGTCAATATGATGCTAGTGACGTCACTGAGAGATCACAATAATGCCAGTGACGTCACTGAGAGATCACAATAATGCCAGTGACGTCACTGAGGGAGATCAATACTGCCAGTGACGTTACTGGGAGATCAATATGATGCCAGTGACGTCACTGAGAGATCAATACTGCCAGTGACGTCACTGGGAGATCAATGTGATGCCAATGACGTCACTAAGAGATCAATATTATGCTAGTGACGTCACTGGGAGATCAATATGATGACAGTGTCATCACTGAGAGAGATCAATACTGCCAGTGATGTCACCGAGGGCATCCTATACATTGTGAGATAAAATTAATCGAATTTAATCCTAGTATCGGATAGATGGTGGGAAGGGCATCCAAAAATAATTTTTTTATCCAAAAATTGAAACCCATTTTTCAAAGACCCATTTTTCGAAGACCCATTTTGGGTCTCAGCTTCCATCCATGGCCCATCGGCCTGCGTTGCCCCGATGGTACGTGGTTGGAAATATACAATGGATATGAGTGCTTGGCACACACCAATCACAATAGCGTGATGTATCAAATGATTAAGGCAGCGTCTGGGATGCTCTCGGACGTAGGTTCGAATCCTCATCACGGCCCTTGTGGATCTGTTCATGAGTGCTTGGTTTATCTTTACCATACAAACCTCTCACTACACTCCCCCTTCTTGTAAGGGGGGGGGGCGAATAGGATTATGGATTAATGGGTTATCGAGTGTTAATGGGTTAAATAGTTATCGAGAATCTCAGAATCTCTGACATGGAATCTCTGGATTATTATTTCCAAACGTAGATTGGACATGTTAATGATATTCGTAAAATGTAAATAGGAGCCGCCTCGCTTGGGACAGAGAGAGAGAGAGAGGGAGAGAGAGAGAGAGAGAGAGAGAGAGAGAGAGAGAGAGAGAGAGAGAGAGAGAGAGAGAGAGAGAGAGAGAGAGAGAGAGAGAGAGAGAGAGAGAGAGAGAGAGAGAGAGAGAGGATAAACTATCCCTCTCAGAGTTGATCATCCATGCAGACCTGCCTCCAAAAATATTACCGATTCTACGTCCGAGCTAACTATAGGAACATGTCAATATACGACTTTGCAAATTGCCTATACATATCCCAATCGAAATTTGGGATTTCTAGGAACGTTAGACATTAGATAACACTAGACCTCAGGGTTATCATGACAATATTTAACCTCGCTTAGATCTTCATAAAATATGTTCTTGACAAATTAACAAATCAGAAAGTTTATAGAATTTCACGTCTTCCGGGCCTAACTTGTGTGACGAGGGAGCTTTGGTTGATTGCCGAGATTGTTAATTACCAGGATTAAGGCAGGTAAGTGGAAGCCACACCTGAGGTGGGTAAGACTTGCTACACCTTGTCGAATGTCAGGTGGTGGGGGGGGGGGGCTTTAAGTTAATGAGTCAATTACACAGGGGCCAAGAGTATATATCTTATTATCAGAGAGGGAGGAATATGCTTGATTGATGTCTTGTGTGGTTGAAAAGTGCCACCAGCCTGTCGACTCTGCAGGCCACCAGCCTGTCGACTCTGCAGGCCACTAGCCTGTCGACTCTGCAGGCCACTAGCCTGTCGACTCTGCAGGCCACTAGCCTGTCGACTCTGCAGGCCACCAGCCTGTCGACCTGCAGGCCACCAGCCTGTCGACTCTGCAGGCCACCAGCCTGTCGATTCTGCAGGCCACTAGCCTGTCGACTCTGCAGGCCACTAGCCTGTCGACTCTGAAAGCCTTCCTTAATCCCTCTCGTTATTTACATTTAATTTCACATTAAATTGCAGTCTCTGTTTATATTTCTCTGGACAAGAGATCAGTTCTCAAGGCGTGATAGGTGTTGGAACCGTCGCAACGTGATGCTGTAAGTGCCATGCAACTTATACTAAACGTGATCTAAACAGGAAGGGAACAACGTGATCTAAACAGGAAGGGAACGGACATGGTCTTTGGTTAATGTATCTTGCCTTCTGTCTCTGTTGTTCTGTTTCCTCAGTGCAGAGTTAACACGTTTTAATCAAAACGTTTGTTTAATTTAAAAAATTAATTAAAAAAAGTTTGTTTTAATTAAAAACAAATTTTTAATTAAAAAATCAAATTTTATACGTTTGTATAAAATATATTCTACGTCTGTCTATAGCTGGAGGTCAGACACTTGGGGGGGGCTACCCTCAACCGACTTTGCACGGTGATTACTGTGGGTTACGTGCCCATAATGGGCGGGTTAGGGTCAGTTCCACTGATCCTTTGAAAATGGAATCGGGTCCCATGGCAACCTCTTTACACCTAAATAGGTGAAAGGAGGCTGGCTGAGTCCCTAGATTTCCTTACCAAGGACTGTTATACTCAGACCCGTTGGCATGAGGTACCTGGAACTTTGCAATTACTTTATTCACTCCTGTGTTGATGAGGATATCCTAATATTGCACCTAGAGTCTGCCACTGGAGACTACTCAACACATATATGGCCCTATATATGACTACAACCATACCCAACACACCTGTCTCGATAGAGACCAGTGCTTTCACTTTTATATAACAAATCCAAAACCGACAAACATCGTTTACGTTTCCGATTTTCGCTTCTAACAAGAAAAAAATTATACGAATAACCACAATATCGAAGACCGGTAATTTCTCAGCGTCAGTGTGTAGAGACATCGACAAAAACTGGCCACCCAACGGTATTTTTTACCCCTTTACAAAAGAGCACAATTATAGAGCTTGTTTTAAAGACTATAATCCCGCACGGCGTATATAGAGCGCTCGCGTACATGCCGTGCAAGACGTTGAAATCCAATAATTTAAAAAAGTCATTCGTGGATTAAGTTAATCGTAACGTTGGTGTCTTTGTTGCTCGGAGGGTGATGGCGTGTGGGGTGCGCAGTTCTTGCGAATTTGTAAATCACTACTGTTTAAGGGGAGGGGTTGTAAATCACAACTGTTTAAGGGGAGGGGTTGTAAATCACAACTGTTGAAGGGGAGGGGTTGTAAATCACAACTGTTGAAGGGGAGGGGTTGTAAATCACTACTGTTTAAGGGGAGGGGTTGTAAATCACTACTGTTTAAGGGGAGGGGTTGTAAATCACAACTGTTGAAGGGGAGGGGTTGTAAATCACAACTGTTGAAGGGGAGGGGTTGTAAATCACTACTGTTTAAGGGGAGGGGTTGTAAATCACAACTGTTGAAGGGGAGGGGTTGTAAATCACAACTGTTGAAGGGGAGGGGTTGTAAATCACTACTGTTTAAGGGGAGGGGTTGTAAATCACTACTGTTTAAGGGGAGGGGTTGTAAATCACAACTGTTGAAGGGGAGGGGTTGTAAATCACTACTGTTGAAGGGGAGGGGTTGTAAATCACTACTGTTTAAGGGGAGGGGTTGTAAATCACAACTGTTGAAGGGGAGGGGTTGTAAATCACTACTGTTGAAGGGGAGGGGTTGTAAATCACTACTGTTAAAGGGAAGAGGTTGTAAAAGTTGCCATTTGACTGCTACAAGAACTGTTTTATGAGTTAATTTTCCGCCAAGATAAGCGTATTATCGTTATTATATATTATAAGCGTTATATAAGTGTATATTTAACAGGCAGCATATTTATTGACGTGTATGTGGAGCTGTATTTTTAAAATACAGCTTTCGTAATACAGCTGTAGTGGAGATAATCAGGGTTAAGATCCAGAGGACCTAAAACAGAAAACGGGGGCAATACATCAATTTTGCGAGCCGCTACCATTTTCTAATACGACAATTTCTGGCTTTGGAGAATACGTCAAAATGCGACGTTCTATTAGGAGGACGGGTTGCACTGGTAGCTTCGACAAGGGGGGCCCGTATAAGTCTATGTTTTTGTTGTGGGATTCGAACCCTGGTAA